AGCATACCTTGACTGAAGTAGGCAAACTTATCTAAAGAAAGCAATATCCAGCGGCCACTGGTGCCACAGTTTGAGTGCGTTGAAAGCATACAGACCTCCCAAAGGTAGCAGGAGCCCTCCCCGCTCCCCCCGTTCCCAAATCCTGGCAGCACTGCCAGCTTACCAAACTCTTTTGAAAGTGGCCGGCCAACTTATTCATTCACAAAAGTTCTTCACACATAGACCCGAGGTCAAACTCTCGTAGAAAGCCTAGTTTTTCATGGCAAATCGAGGGTGGAGACGGGGTCTCACCAAGCGCAGCTGTCTCCCGTTCCCAGCCATCGCTACTGTCACTTTGAGTGGTCATGCAAGAGTGCTGCGTTCAGAAAGTCGTCGGCCAGTCAGCGCGCACGCCACGCCCCTGTCAACTGAGGTAAACTCATTGCCCCAAATTAACTATACTCCAACACATAATTTTACATGAAGACATATGCTTTATTTTACTTTATACCACAGAATATTGTAATAATAATAATAACAATAACAATAGTTTAATAATAATATATGATTGTACAGGCGGTGTGCCAGCGTTGAGATTCCTTATAACAGAAGTAGGACGTTTCACTGATTGTATCTCTCCGCGGTCCATTCAAGCAGTCAGTCATTGTTGCGTTGTTTGGCACTTTGATTCTGCTTTTTCGTTAGCGGAGAAAAATCTAAAATACATTTTTTAATTACTTTATGTTAAATTCTTGTTTATAGCCTATAACTGTTTTATACGTCGGCGTTTTAGTGCCACGTTAAAAAAATCTAAGATTACGAGATAAAAAAGTAGTAATATTTTGAGAATGAAGTCAAAATTACGAGAATAAATTCAGTACGAAAATAAAGTCAAAATATTTTGAGAATAAGATCGAAATTACGAGAATAAAGTCGAAATATTTTGAGAATAAAGTAAAAATTACGAGAATCAAGTCATAGCAATCAGGCTATGAGATATTTTGAGAGTAGCCTTGCGCATGCATGCAAATGGCCCTGATTTGAATATATGTGGGTTTATTAGCAGAAATCATAGCCTACCATGTGTCATACTTGCAGGGACAGTAGCCTATATGCTTGGAAATAATAGCCTATTTCACATCTTCGAATGCATTCATTATTTGTAGTGCGCCAGCCACCCAAAAATAGCATTAAGCTTTGTGATTTTGGTACTTTTAATATAAAACAAAGTCTCAGCTTTCAAATTCTGTCATTTTTATAGCGAAATACAAACAATATGTCTTACAATAATGTGTTTTTCACGCACTTTAATGTGGCGTGACAGATCGCTGTATTCGCCCTATAAGCGGCATGTGAATTAATCATCTTTTTGAGACATTCGTTTAATTAAATTATAGCCTACTGTTTTTTCATGCCTTCTGATGTTCCTTCATCATGCTATAACTTGTAATAAAGAGGAGAAACACATTTCTAATTTGTATTTAGTGATAAAACTGACAGAATTAAGCTCAGCTGTGTTATATTAAAAGCAACAAAGCTTATAAGCGATTACTACTGGGTGGCTGCACGCTACAAATAATGAATGGATTTGAAGGCATGAATTATAATTTCCAATCATTTATTATACCATGAATAAAACAGCTTGTGAATCGTCACCTAAAGTTAAACGTTATTTACCTCAGAAAAGACAACAATAACTTAAAATAACAAGTTGAATTTCATAACTTTTTTTTGTTGTTGTTGCTGTTTTTAACTAACCGAGACAGTGAAATGGCTGATATTGCTTATATATAGGCCTATGTGAGGAATGAGAGGTTGGACGCCACAGACTTTTTTTGCGGAGTAGGTGGCGGATTTTTTTTTTACAAAGAAAACAGTATCATTTAATGAAACGAATGTCTCATTATAATGAAAAGATGATTATAATTCCCATGCCACTTAAACATGGGGCGAATACAGCCATCTGTAACGTCACATTAAAGAGCGTGAAAAACACATTATTGTAAAGACATATTGTTTGTATTTCGCTTTAAAAATGACAGAATTTAAAGGCTGAGACTTTGTTTTATATTAAAAGTAGGCTACCAAAAGCACAAAGCATAGGCCTATTGGGTGGCTGGCGCACTACAAATAATGAATGCATTCGAAAATGTGAAATATTATTTCCAAACATAGGCTAGGCTACTGTCCTGCGAGTAGGCTATGACACATATGATTTCTGATAATAATCCCACATATATTCAAATCAGTTGCCAGGCCAATTTCTCCTGGAGCTCCCGATCCGGGCCATTTGCATGCGCTATAAATAGCCTACTCTCAAAATATTATAACTTTAAACTCGACTTAATTCTCGAAATTTTGACTTTATTCTCAAAATATTTCAACTTTATTCTCGTCATTTCGACTTTATTCTCGTAATTTCGATTTAATTCTCAAAATATTCCGACTTTATTCTCGTATTGCTACGACTTTATTCTCGTATAATTTTGACTTTTTTTCTCAAAAAATTACGAGTTTAATCTCTTAAACTTAGATTTAATTTATTTTTTAACGTGATACTAAAACGCCGTTTTACAATTGCCTAACATATTTAATAATAAAATCACCTGCGGCCAAATCACAGCTGTGCAATTGCACTTTAGCTCGTGCGATATTGCGTAATTATTCTCCACTGCAGATAGGCCTACAGGCATAGGCGGAGGGTGAACCAACTCCAGGGTAAGGCTAAAAGCAGCCAAATCTATTAACTACAAACATCATAAACCTGTCTTTTTAGGCAAGAGCCAGACGTGGGTGTCATGTAGGCTAATAAAATATGTTTAATGGGACTGAATTTGCATTTAATGTGATTACAATTTAATTAAAACATTAGAAATTGACAATTAGGGGAGAGCGGGGCACAATAGCACATTGTAACGCAGTGTTACAACGTGCCCCATCTGCGCAAATGGAATTTAAAACTTACTGTCTTCTGATAGTTAGCGAAGCATTAAAAAATAATTTAAACTGATAAATAACAGATTGGAGATTAAAATAATAGCAGACTTGTCTAATTTTAAATGAGCAATAAAAACTGAGATGAAAAATTTACTTAAGCCAGAAATATAGTTTTACTATGGTAAAATAAATGTTCAGCGATATCTTCAAAAGACTTTTGAATTTTGGCGCACTTTTTTTCTCTGTATAATGTTGATATAGTAACTAAGTAAATGCTGTACATTTGGTTATGCTAGCATGTGTGGAAATATTTAAACCACGTGTGTTACAACTTACCCCGCGTTACTTTGTGCCCCGCGCTCCATAACGTTTCCTTCCCACGGTTATTTAAACGGCGAAATTATGTACAGAAATGACATTATCACTAACTTTGATCTATCGCACTCTCAAAAAAACAAAAGTATCGTTATAATCACTGAAACTGTCTACACTGCGAAATTAATTCCTTACTTACATTGTATGTACATCTGCGCTTTGTTGTTTATTATGAGAGAATTCGCGGAATTCAGTCATTGAACGTGCGCGCATTCAACAAAGCTGATGAGTTTCAGCGATCACTCATCTGAACGCCTCTGATTGGCCATTGCATTCCTAGGCTCAACAAAATCGTGTGTGATTGGTTATAATGCACAACACTGTAAAAACGCCTAAAATGAAATACGGTGCAACATGAGCAGATCTTAATTTAATGCGCAGTCGACACTTTCTATTAATTTACACGTTGTTAGCAACAACAGACGTAATAGATTTCATTTGTTTGTGGGATTTTTTTGGACATTTTTGTCCAATTTAGTGGCATTTTTGCCCCAAGACCCCGTGGCCATGCACAGCCTTACACACGCTCCGCCTATGCCTACAGGTAGACTACTTGAAAGTGTTGAAATGATAATTTTAATTATTAGCCTACATTAGTGATTAAAACAGTTAGCCTACTAATAGCTGGTCTGTGGTAGTAAACTGGCAAAAAGACTAGCCTAGTCTATTAGTCTAGTCAAAATTCTGGAATCTTTGTACCGCATGGGAAATTATCCAGCAGCAGGCCTTTCCTAAAATAGAAACGCACCGCCCTCCATTGGTTTTCCCCACGGGAATTACAATACTGACAAACAGCGAACATTTAATACGTTTTTTATTAAGGTATTCATATGAAAGATAAGTTGTTAGCCAAAATTACAAAGAAATGTACTTTTACGAACAGTTGACTATCAAAAATGATCACAGCTCACTTTAGGAAACAGCAGAAGATTCCCTCAAATACCATGTGGAAACTTTGGTAACAATAATTTCCGCGGTTTAATCACAGCCTTAAAAACAAAACTGGTTACCGCTGACTTGTAGAGCCTCTCAAGAGAGGGGAAAAAAGAAGCAGAAGATAACGGACAGTTGACGAAGCCCGTGACCAGGAGCTCTCACCTGTCATCAGACTGACTGACACGATGTCACAGAGTAGGCCTACACGCCACTAGACGTTCTCACGCGCTACAGCATTATTTGTTAACAAATTAATTAGGCACTGCTGTATGCTGATATAAAATCCCCGGTAGGGGTCAATGCAAGGTAACCTTGTGAAACGCCTTTAAACTAAACACAGTTGTGCCGTTGTTGGAGACATTGAAATTATGTACCAAAATAAGCACCAATAAAAACATACAAACACAAATCCAGCTCATCTCTCTCAATGATAGGCCCTATTGCTAGTCAAAACTGTTGATGGGTAACAGAAAGAGTAAAATAAATAGCGTTTAAAAAGAAGTAAACAAAGTAAAACTAAATCATGCAAAATTAAAAAGAAGCATTCATATACAATACTATTATACTAATAATATTGTAAATGATCCCTCAAAAAAGGACACTCAATTTTGTGCAAAGACGGTCTTAATTTATGTCATTTGTGACCACTAGGAGTCACTCTTGGGCTTTTCTAATGCCACTAGAGAGTACTGTTACTGTGACAGGCTCTTGAGTAGCCTAATGTGGAAAATGAAATTCAACCTCCAACATTTTGACAGACATTGCTATGCCATATGTCCTAATTGTCTTTTGGCTTGGGGGAGGAATGCCAAGTTTGGAATGAAGCATGCTTGAAACCTGCTGTCAGGTTTGTGGCTTTGTTGTATTCTCAGGGCAGGTTGTCAAAAACAAGGTACAAAACACATGCTAATTCTAATGCTCTAATGGCCTGTTGGTTGAATTAGTCACTGGATGTAGGGATAATCTTAAACAGTCTTATTGCTTGAAGAGTCCGAAGCAGATGACAGCAACTTTGTGTTCTTTTCATTCTGTAACTGCGCCTTTTCTGTGGACATTTTATCTTGGTGAACAAAAGCATGCCTTCCTTTGGCTCTGGTCGAGCACCTCAGTAGTGCTTTGAAAATCAGGTAGGCCAGTTCAGCCACATTGAGCACAATGCAAATGGCAGAAGAACCCACCATGAAAATGGTGAAGACTGTCTTCTCTGTTGGTCGTGAGATAAAGCAGTCAACTTTATTGGGACAGGGCCACTGCTCACACTTCACAAGACGGGCCATCTGAAACCCATCGTAGACATAATACAGAGCGTACATGAATCCGGCCTCGAAAAGGAGCCGGAAGAACAGGCTGGAGGTGTAGGTCCACCACAGCGACCCAGTGATGGGTAGACGCCTCTTCTTCAAGCTCTCCAGGTCATCCCCTTTGACACCGCCACCTCGCTTGGCCAAAAGTCCTTTCTTTACATTGTGTTTGTGATATGCCACATGCATAACCACCAGCAAAGCCGGTGTAGACACAAAGATGAGCTGCAGGCACCAGAAACGGATGTGTGAGACTGGAAAGAAGTGGTCGTAGCAGACGTTTTTGCAGCCTGGCTGTTGTGTGTTACAGGTGAAGTCGGACTGCTCATCCCCCCAGACCGTTTCGGCGGCTATTACAAGGATGCTAATGCGGAAGATGAAGAGGACAGACAGCCAGATCTTTCCCAGGCTGGTGGAGTGTTTATTTACCCCTCCCAGCTGGGTATAAAGTGCTCCCCAACTCATCCTGTCTGCTGTTGCTCTCAGCTCCTAATCATCGAAAAGAAAGAGATGAATTTGATTTTGAGCAAGTAAATATATATATTCAAATTTAAACAATATGTAAAGTTCACACACTTATATTTAGTTTAAATTTACATTTCAGATGACAAAATATATTACAAAATAGACAAATTCTTAAAATACACTGAGAGTCTAGGACAAACTATTTTAATAATTAAGATTTTTGAATGTTTTTGAAAGACGTCTCTTATGCTCACCAAGGTTGATCATAAAATGCAGTAAAAATAGAAATAGCATATTAGAATGATTTCTGAAGGATCATCTGACACTGAAAACTGGAGTAATGACTGCTGAATTCTGCTTATCGGAGGAATAAATTAAAAAATTAAAAAATATTTTACAATAAAAAACAATTTTTAAATTGTAATAATATTTAACAACATTGTTTTGTAAACTTTGTATAATATTGCACTGATTTATTGTATTTCTGGTCAAATAAATGTAGTCTTAGTAAGCATAAGAGACTTCTTTAAAAAGCATATATTTTTTAATTCTTCCAAACTTTTGACCGGTAAGGTAAGCTTAAATGTTTATTCCTCAATCCTAATAACACAAACTATAATTATATGTCTTCAAAAAGACAAAACATATTGAATAAAAAATGCTTTCATTATGTTAATAACATTAATAAATCCTTTAATTCCTATTAAGAAATCCTTCATTCCATTTTTTTTTACACATTTTGGTAACTTTGCTTATATTTGGTCGAATTGAACATGTCAGAATTATCATATAATATCATCACAAAATTTGTGAAATGTCTGGCAGTTTTACAAAAGGAAATTTACCTGTTAGCCTACAAAATGATTTAGATCAAATCCATGATAGCCTATATATCCGTCCAGGTGAGTTAAAATTTGTACTTTCACTTGCGGAGTTTCTTTGTGGTCTTGAGAGTGAGATGAAGTGATTTGACTGAGGACAGTGAGCGCAAGTTTAGTGCTCTCTCGAGGAGAGGTGCACCTGACATCGGGCGGAGCCACGCATTAATTGGCAAGCGGCAAAACCGGAATGTTCCTGGAATACGTTGCGCGCCTCAGCTGATTACAGCAGGAGCGATCTAGTACAGTCGCGTCGCTAGCGTGTAGATGTGGTATTATGTTCAAACGTACAACATATCTTAACTTTCACACAATATATTTTTACTGTATTTCAGGTCATAAGTAAATAACCTACAGTGGCATAAAAAGTTTATTTATTTTATTTTTTAGCCCAACCGTTCAGGGGCCATGAAACGTAAGTAGTTTCTTTGCGCTTTTTTTTCTTAAACTCGTGTTCTTTTACTTACATTAGGTTAATACTTACATTTAAATGTAGGTAGAATAATTCAGTAAAGTTTAGCCCCACTAATCTGTCTCTGCATTATTTAACAAAATATCAAACCAAACAGTAGCTAATTTGAAGATATATATAGCTACAAACAATTTGCGAGCAAAACATTTAACAAAGATAAGTTTTATAGGTTTTAAAAGATAATTTTAATTCTTAAAGGGGTCATATGATGTTGCTAAAAATAACATTATTTTGTGTATTTGGTGTAATGAAATGTGTTTATGCGGTTTAAGGTTAAAAAAACACATAATTTTCCACCATAGACTGTATAAAAATATGGACGTACTGTCCGTGACGCCACCCCTAGATTTCCTAGGAGCTTTTTTGAAGCTCAAAGTGGGCGGAGCGGGCCGTCGCCATCTTGGCAGCGCGTCACTCCCAGATAATCGAAAATGGGCAGAGGCGGGAGGTTGAAACCACGCCCACCTAGCTCGACGGTGGTAACAGCAGCTGCAATCCACCTGTCACTCAAGTGGCCACGCCCTTAATTATGCAGAACCGTAAGGCTTAATATAATTTAAACGGTTATAAAAAAAAAAAAACTTTTATAAAGAATATCTCTTTGGATTTGAGACTTTAGTCTTTGCAACTTTATCTTCTTTATGCACCAAGAGCTTGTAACACTCCAAAGAGAAAGGAAAAATTGAAATCGCATCATATGACCCCTTTAATGTCATTTACTACGCCAGTGTTTACTCTGCTAGGACACCTGTGTGAATTGACATCATAGACTAAAAATCACCTTGACACCAGTCAGTTTAGTCATTGTTAGTTCTTCTGAGAAAAGCATTATTTATTTGCATCTGACACTTGGTTTGACATGTTATGACATTCATACATCTCAAGTTAAGTGTCCAAATACTTGTTGGGCTCAGCTCAGGTATGAGATTAATTCAGAAATGTCCCACGAGGAAGTTAAAAGTGAAAATACCATTCATTTTTAATTGCGTGTATTTTCCAAAAGGAAACATCAAAATTTTCTTATGCTGAGTCAAACACTCATTGGGGTGGATCAAGAAACGGGCTTTCCACTTGGAGATTGTTTTTATTTTCTCTTTAATTGTGAATTTCACATTACATTTATCATGAGCAAGAAAGTGCTATAGCTGTTTCAGTGAAACAAGTATTTGTCACAAATCTTACACTTAAAAATACTGGTAATGCATTAAAAAATTTAATTTATTATTAAATGAACCCTACAACCATTTCTGAGGTTAACTTTTGTTTTAGTAATTTTCTTCTATAATCAGTCATATTCTGTTGCCTGGAAGGGAAATATTTAACTTAGGACAACAATGGCTCAGATGATCCATAACCAATTCCATTCAGATATGGACTAGCCTCATTTCTTCAGCTTAGCTAGTTCCATCAGCAGATGATCTCTTCTCTCTCTCCTGACTGTGAGGTGCTCTTGTTCAGCAGGGATCAGCTCACAGATCTCCTAAAGTACATGATGAAATCTTTCATTTTATAATGATTACAAAAATTATTTAAAAACAACAACAACAACAAAACGATTATGGTTATTTGGGAAATCTGTCCAATTTAAGATTTCTAAAGCAACCGTTTCAAGAGATTTTCCACTAATTATTAATAATATTGATATTGCTTACTTTAACAATTCTAGCTGCTGGCTCTCCAGAAAAGTCAGGAACAGGCCCAAAAGTATTAAGAACCCTCTTCATGCCCTCACTGTAGCGCTGGAGATAGTCTTCCATACCTGGACAGACAAAACAATAAAAATGTGGTTTTGCATTTCTACAATACAGTAGTAACACAGTAGACCATAAAAGGTCTGATATTTTTCACGACTCTAATAACAACATATTACAGAAACAGTTTTGATCTATTTTAATTCATTTAAAATATATATATATATATATTTTATTTTATTGCTTTTTTTTCATATTTAGTATATCGAACACTGCTTTGTCCTTATGAATAACTGTGACACAAAAAGTATAATCAATTTGGAACAGTGTCCTAAATGACTGTAGTAACAGGTAACAGGTTTTCACAGACTGCTTAAGTAACAGGTTTTCACAGACTGCTTTTTCGCTGCCCCAAGCACCGCACCAAATTTTTTTCCATGCATGATGAAAACGAAAACTTCTCAGTGCTTAAATACAAAATTTCATTATGCCATTTAAAAAAAAAATAGCATAGCTTGCCTTCTGGTGCATTGAGATGCATGGTTTCAATGGGACCTATAAAAGCGTAGCGCATGCCCAAGCCCTCAGACATCACCAGGTCAATGTCCTTCACTGAAATCACTCCGTCCTGGATGAGAAGAAAGAGAAGTTCATTTGGCTACTCGCACTGAATTACACGCTTGGATGAAAGACAATGATTCTAAAAGTGGTTTACTGATGTTCTGATCTTCTAAACCTAAAATTACAGCTTCCTGCTTAGTAGTTTGTCCAGCCAACAAGGTTTGGTCCACCTGATTGAGAGGAAAATGGAGGTTGCCCCCCTTTTGTCCCATCTGAAGAGCACTAAAGCTGCTCCCACTGTATTGGGTTTCACTTATCATTTAACTCAGTGTCCTCTGAACAATGGGATGGTATGGCAGGGGGAGGCAAGTGTGGTTGTGCCAGGCTTTGGGCCCACTTTGCACTCATATTACCTGTGGCTACAGATACCTGTTGCCTGACTGTGCTGAAATCAAAGCTTGGATACAGAACGGGCAGTGGGGGATGAGTTTAGGAGGGGGACAGGGTGGTCTTTGTTCATTTCCTGCACGCAACAACGAGGCCGTTATCTCGGTGTCGCCAGGCGGCGGACTGGCTGGGGAAACCGAGAAAAGAGGCCTTTCCTCTACGGTAATCACCAGGGGCAGCCATTAGCTTTCCCAGCTGCTCTACTTTCCAGAGCTGGCTCTCTCTCAAAGAGCCGCCTGAACCCAAAGAGGAAGCATGAGTGGATTTGAGCTGCAAATCTGGCGTGTGGGGCACCGTCCAAACTTTAAATGTTCCTTATCATTAAACCCCCCCCCCCAAAACTAACCTCTTTTTCCCTAAATAAAACAACTAATTTAAAAGAACACACACACAAAAAATATAAGAGGCAAGTCCAGGAAAACATAAGTCTAAGTATAAAACCTATAGAACTCGACTTTAAAAAGTGTATGAGAGGCTTACGGAAGGCCTAAGGCATCTTTACACCAAGGACTTAAGGCTGCTCTGTGCCTGCTCAAAATTCAGCATAAAAACATAATGCCACATTAAAGCCAGACTAAATTATGCCTTCTGAGCAACATTAGAGTCATAAAGACTCCTAAATGCCATGTCAGAAGTGCTTCTCTGCCAGCTTTGCAGTGTAAGAAAAGGAATAGTTCATCCAAAAATGAAAATTCTGTCATCATTTACTCATCCTCTATTTGTTACAAACCTGTACGAGTTTCTTTCTTCTGCTGAACACAAACGGTTGATGCCCCCCACTGACTTCCAAAGTATTTTTTCCCAGGCTATAGACGTCAGTGGGGACCAGCAACTGTTTGATGATGGAATTTTCATTTTTGGGTGAACTATCCCTTTAAGCATTGATGATATTATGAACATCAGATCAAACTGGATTTTCAGCTAGTAATCAATATCCAAATGTCTGTGGGCATAGTTTTAGACTTAGATGTAACAGTTAGGTATTTGGGCCCATGACAACAACATGAACAGCTCACACATCTTATTATTCAACACAGTGAAGCATTAATAAACTCAAATAATATAATGCGAAATAAGACTTAAATTGAACAAAAGTGATGCAACATTTAACAAGTAACAGTCCCAGGTGGCCACAAAGGGTCTTTGAACAATATTTAACTTGTGTAAAACCAGCTTATGTAATTACTTCTTTTAGTTATCTAAACAAAAAACAGTATGAATTAATCAGTTTGCGTGCTGGTTTAACTGGTTCATCAACATGGCTTCTTTTAAAGCTCCATGTGACATAAACTTTTAACAGCTCAGACAGCAGATTCGTTTGAAATTCTTGAAAAGTATCTGCCTACAACTAAAAAGGAGGAGAGGTATTTCTGTCATTTAGAAGTTGACCCAAAACAGGATATGGATTTGTGCCTGAAATGGTGCATGTTTAATTTAGAAATTTAACTTTTCCATCTGACTGTGAGGAAATTACAAGACTTGGAAAATTATGTCAAGATCTCTCATAAGAAATGCTTGTTAAGAAATTAAATTCCTAACACACACAAACTGCATAGAAAACGTGAAAAATCAACCTGTAAATCATACTGATATTCCAGACAACTAAATTACTGAATTACCTCATCATCAATGATTGCACAATAACACTACTGAGGATGAAATGAAGAATAAGGCAAGAAAAAAATGGTTATAAGGAAAAACACTTATTTAGTGTAACAGCTAATAAAAGAGGAAAATCTTTATATATATAAAAATAAAAAACAACATCCCACTCTTCCTAAATGGTGGCATGATGAATAAGATCAATTGGTATATATATAAACATTGAAAATTATATTTACAACTAATGTGACATTTTGTCTTCAGCCTCATAAGATTTCCTTTAATTATGCC